ACATCATAAAGTGGCCAAAATCTGATCAGCTCATTTTCAGACAGGTTTTTATAGAAATGGATCAGGACAGAAAGAGAGAGAATCTTTCAGAGTCTCTTTCCACAGAGGGGACACATGTTGATGTAGAAGAGACATGAAGAAGAGGGGACACATGTTGATGTAGAAGAGACATGAAGAAGAGGGGACACATGTTGATGTAGAAGAGACATGAAGAAGAGGGGACACATGCTGATGTAGAAGAGACATGAAGAAGAGGGGACACATGTTGATGTAGAAGAGACATGAAGAAGAGGGGACACATGTTGATGTAGAAGAGACATGAAGAAGAGGGGACACATGTTGATGTAGAGGAGACATGAAGAAGAGGGGACACATGTTGATGTAGAAGAGACATGAAGAAGAGGGGACACATGTTGATGTAGAAGAGACATGAACAAGTGGATTTTGCATAATAGGTGACCTTTAAAATTAAATAAATCAAACTGCTTCTGCTCCTCTGACCCCTGGCTGGGTGCAGCGGACTCTCACCGAGTGCTTGATGTCGTCCAGCGTGGCGGAGAAGGAGTCGATGAGCAGGTGGGGCAGCTGCGACAGGAAGCCGATGGTGTCCACGTAGAGGACGGGCATCCTGCAGGGCAGCAGGCCGCCGTGCACCGTCACGTCCAGCGTGGCGAACAGCTGGTCTCTGGGCTGCATACCCCCGTCCCCCGTCAGAGCCTTGATCAGGGTCGTCTTTCCTGCACACACCATGGAGGGAAAACGTGTATTTATATTGCACTTTTCAACACAAACACTAGTGCAATAACTACATTTATTTTACAAGATTAATTACATGTATTAATTTAAGTACATTATTTACATGTATTCTGATAATTATTATTTTTTCTAGTGAATCAATAATACATAATCAATGTATGTGCTATAAATATAGTTTTTTCCTTGTGCCTTAAATAACATTATTATATGTATTCTAGTGCATTGATTAGATTTAGTCTATAGAAATTATTATATTTATTTTTGTGGAATTAATGCAGTTTATTTTAGAGCATTAAAAACTGTCATTCAAGTGCAATAATTATATTTATTCTAGTGAGTAATAATTCTAATTATGTCATTGCGTTTAACCGATATTTGAGAACCTGTGTTGTCAGATGTTTATTTATTTAGCTGTTTCCCTGCGTCCATATTTCTCCTGTATTCTGTACACTGTAGTGTATTCCCAAACAGAGCCTGCCTTTGTACATCCTCTCACCACAGTTGGTGTATCCGAGCACGGAGACGACGGGGAACTCTTTGTGTTTCCGCTGAGAGCGCAGCAGCTTCCTCTTCCTGCGGAGTTTCTCCAGAGCCAATCGGATCTTCATCTCTCTCTCCTTCAGCAGACGCTGCTGCACCTCCATCAGAGTCTCTCCTGCAGGGGGGGACGTCCCAGAGTTCATCACTAACATCCAGACGTGTGTGTGTGTGTGTGTGTGTGTGTGAGTATGTGTTTGTGTTGATGTGTGTGTGTTGATGTGTGTGTGAGTGTTAGTGTGAGCGTTAGTGTGAGCGTTAGTGTGAGCGTGTGTGTGTGTGTGTGTGTGTGTGTGTGAGGTATATGCAGGAATCCTGAAGTCAAATGTAATACCTTTTAAGACCTTTTTTAAGACCCTTTCCATACATTTTAAGACCTCATCGCAACTTTGAGTTCTAACCGGTTACATTAGCAACACACTTTGCCTCACATTTACTATATTGATTGTAAGATAGCAAAACTAAACAGAGTGCAGACAGACCACTGAAGCCTCCTTTCCACATGAACTTCAACCTCTCTGTGAAGGTCAGGTTTAATGCAGTATGCTGCTTTTTGGCTTCTGTACTCTGTGCTCTTTCATTCCAGTAAAACTCCTCAGAAACCAGTATTTGACCAATAAACAAAACAATTGACAAAACTTTGAACTATGAAATATATTAAACTTTGGTGAGCTTCAGCGGGGTAATGCCATATAGGAGCTCCCTCACAAATACCCAGGGGTTAAATTGGGCTGGGGCTGTCCGGGGCTAAGCCCTGGCACATAGGACGATGCTCTGACGTCATCACCCTCAAACATTTGTCATATGTTTACAAAAAAGGATATATATGTTAAGACTTTTCTCGTTCTTAATATAGACTATATTTAGGGTCTATATGTGTTGACTTTACTTTAAAAATAGCAGATCTCTGTGACCGGATATAGTTTGGCTTAGACCCCGGCCCCATGAGGACGCATACGGTAAAACGCATACGCAAGCGCAAAAAAGTCTTCCGTTCACACGCATTTGATTCATTAATGTGTCCTTTCACACTTGACCGCTGGAAATGCTGGAAACGCTGTAGTACATATGCCAGGCCTGTAAGTGGCGCTGCTGCCGCAACAAAATACACCAAAAGCAGCGAAGAAGACCCCGGAGCATGGTTGCCATGCTGTTTATTCTCCGTGGTGGACGACGTGTTCTCCTGCTGTATATCTCTCAGGTAGTCCACCAGCAGATGAAAAACACCCACCTCTCCGCCTCTTCCAAGGGACGAGGGAACCGTGCAGCAGAGTTTCTGTTACAAAAAATGTTCCGCCGGTCAACATGTCCGTTAAAGTTTAAATCTTCCGTACAAAATTAGAAAAA